CCTCTACGGCAGAACTTTCAACCTCATCACCGACCACAAGCCGCTCCTGGGCCTCCTTGCTGGTGATTGACCAACTCCACCGGTCCTCTCGCTGCGCATGCTGCGATGGACTGTTTTCCTGGCTGCCTACCACTACTGGCTCGTCCATTGCCTGGGGAAATTGATGGGCCATGCTGACGCCCTCAGCCGTTGCCCTCTTCCAGCGTTTGTGGAAGACCCGGCTCCTGCTCTATCGCTCCTCCTGATTGAGGATCTTCCGGCAGCGCCTATATCGGCTGCCACTGTGGCCTCCGCATCTGCCCAGGATCGCACCATCAGCCGTGTGCTGAACTGGGCGTGGAGGGGGTGGCCACAAGGGCCTTTTGCATCGGAGTTCCAGCCATTCGCAACCAGACAACATGAACTCTCAGCTCACCACAGCTGCCTGCTGTGGGGAGACCACGTCGTGATTCCCCAAAGACTCTGTCAACGCAACCTTGAGGCTCTGCACATTGGCCACCCAGGAATCATCAAAATGAAGGCGTTGGCTCGGTGTTACGTCTGGTGGCCTAACATGGACGATGCCATCACTGCCTGGGTGTCCGCCTGTCAAGCGTGCCAAGAATCTAGGCCTGCACCACCGGCAGCTAAGGGACACACCTGGGAGACACCCAAGACACCCTGGTCGAGGGTGCACATCGATCTGGCTGGCCCCTTTCACGGCCAGACCTTTATGGTAGTGGTGGACGCCTATTCCAAATGGCTGGAGGTGGCCCTGATGCCCTCCACCACTACCGAGGCCGTCATCCGGGTGCTTTGCGACGCCTGGGTGTCCTGATGTCCTTGTCTCCAACAACGGACCGCAGTTCACGTCAGGCACTTTTGAGTGGTACCTTTTGGGACTGGGCATTCGCCATGCCCTAACAGCACCACTTCATCCATCCAGCAACGGGCAAGCGGAGAGAATGGTGCGCTCAGCAAGAGGCACTGGCGCGCCTGGACCGGGAGACTGGCACGAGCGGGTCGCCGAATACTTGTTCGTGCAACACATCACCCCTCATGCGGCCACAGGGCGGAGTCCTGCTGAACTGCTTATGGGCCCCCGCCTCAGGTCCCGGCTCGACCGGCTGCACCCGGACTTTGCCGTGGCCGAACCCCCAGGCTGTGCTAACGCGCCACGGTCATTTGTTCCAGGAAACCAGGTCTTTGCCCGGAACTATGTGGGGGACATTCCTTGGGTGCCAGCCACAGTAGTGGGAGTTACTGGACCTCGCTCGTACCAGGTGGCACTCTTCAAGCGCCCAACTTATTTAAAGGACTATGTTGTTGGACATGTATCACTGGTGGTCTAAGTATGTGAAATCTAACCGATATGCTTTTGTGCCTAATTGAACCATTACGTGTAGTGCTGTATATAAGGAAACCATTATGATTGTAACTAATGCCTTATCTCGGTGGGGAGGGGTGTTATGTACTGAAGTTCTCACCCTGGGCCAGCAGGGGGATACTGTAGATAGTTTTCACTAAGGTCCACATATGCAAATAAGGGATTGAAAGTGACGTTCAGTGATTGGATAGTTACAGAAAATGGTTACTGTTGCGTTCTAGTGGAGCTCTTTATAAGCAGGCTGGCTGAACCCTTCAGTTCAGTTCAGTTCAGTTCTGGTCTGTGAATAAACAAGAGCTGTTTGAAGAATCGCTGTGTTGTCTGATATGTTCACCCACAACTTAACAGAGTCCATCTCACACTTTCTTTCTTTTGCATAGCCTTCTTCGCAGCATCCATCCCTTCCTGAGTCTTTTAAAATAGACATCCATTACATGGGAATACTACTGTATAAAGGTCCATATAGTTAAAGCTATGGTTTTCCCAGTAGTAATGTATGGAAGTGAGAGCTGGGCCATAAAGAAAGCTGATTGCCGAAGAATTGATGCTTTTGAATTATGGTGCTGGAGGAGACTCTCGAGAGTCCCATGGACTGCATCAAACCTATCCATTCTGAGAGCCAGTGCGGTGTAGTGGTTAAGAGTGGCAGTCTCGTAATCTGGGGAACCGGGTTCGCGTCTCCGCTCCTCCACATGCAGCTGCTGGGTGACCTTGGGCCAGTCACACTTCTTTGAAGTCTCTCAGCCCCACTCACCTCACACAGTGTTTGTTGTGAGGAAGGAAGGGAAAGGAGAATGTTAGCCACTTTGAGACTCCTGAAGGGGAGTGAAAGGTGGGATATCAAATCCAAACTCTTCTTCTTCTTCTGAAGGAAATCAGCCCTGAGTGCTCACTGGAAGGACAGATTCTGAAGCTGAGGCTCCAATACTTTGGCCACCTCATGAGAAGAGAAGACTCCTGGAAAAGACCCTGATGCTGGGAAAGATGGAGGGCACAAGGAGAAGGGGACGACAAAGGACAAGATGGTTGGACAGTGTTCTCGAAGCTACTAACATGAGTTTGACCAGGCAGTGGAAGACAGGAGTGCCTGGTGTGCTCTGGTCCAGGGGTCCCGAAGAGTCGGACACGAGTAAACGACTAAACAACAACAATGCCTTGGAGTGATAAACTAACAAACATTTTAAGTTATCTCAAAAGGCTTTTAAGATAAACAACTGAATGTTTTGCAGGAAATCAAAACTGGTTTGCCATATGCTGTATCTCCCAGTCTCCACTGATAAGAACCTGAAATATAAAGCATGTGTATAAATATTTCACATCTCTGGCAGCAATCTAGTTCTCAGTTGTGCATATGTAAACACAGTCCTGCATTTGCAGCCTAATCTCTCTTTCCTTACAATAGGCCTTTGAGGTTCTGTAATGAAACATAGAAATCGGACGGAGAACTGGTTGCTTCTGGTTCTACAAGAGCCATTTCCTCTCAAATTGCCATCCTTTATTCACTCACTTTTTACAGAGTATCCCTAAAAAAGCATTTCTAAGTCCATGGCAATCTAGTGTTTCTTTGCCTGTCTTCCTATGTCCCCCTGCCCTGAGCTGATTTGTAGTTTTTTAAATTTATTTTTTATTATAATAGTAAAAGATAATTGCTATTCAGATTTTCCCTGTGTCTTTAAATTAAGACTCATCTCATGTCATTGCTAGGAGAATATTCACAAGCTGATTTTTATTTGCCATTGAATAGCCTCTCTGAATTGCTCCAGTGTTGTTCCTGTAGGGGTGGTGGAAGACTTTAATAACGGTTTCCTCTGATTATTTTTTCTTAGTACCTTTTAACTATTTTAAAAAAGCAATTTCACTATTATAAATTAATACAATAATCCAAATTTCCCTTTCCTGGTGGGAACTGAAATTGATACTGGGGAATTTCAGTACAGTGGTACCTCTGGTTACGTACTTAATTCGTTCCAGAGGTCCATTCTTAATCTGAAACTGTTCTTAACCTGAAGCACCACTTTAGCTAATGTGGCCTCCCGCTGCCGCCGCACCGCTGGAGCACGATTTCTGTTCTCATCCTGAAGCAAAGTTCTTAACCCGAGGTACTATTTCTGGGTTAGCGGAGTCTGTAACCTGAAGTGTATGTAACCCGAGGTACCACTGTAATGCTATTCAAGGGCAACTAACAATCTGTTGATCACTAATCCCATAGCCCACATTAACAGGAAGCAATAAAATAGAATAAACCTGTACAAAATATACCAGAGGCCCAATACATCAGAGGCATCAGAGGAAGTGTTACCTCACACTTCCCAGTACATTTTCCTTCACTTTCCTTATCACAAAAAATCAGGGTTGGCCCAAGGCATTTTGGCACCTAAAGCAGACCTCAAAATGGCACCAGGGAAGAACGAGTAAAGGAAGAGCTGCTATATCATGACCGTGGGGGGGGGGGGAGGACACAACAACAGGATCTGCTGCCCTGGTGGATCCTGCCAGCTGAGATGGCCTCCTTACCTGACCTCATGAGTGGGCCAGTCTTGCAAAAAGTCCAATATTTTAGTGGTGCAGGTTTGTTGTGCAAGACCTCCCCAATCAACTATAACTGTGTGACATGAATTTGCTGGTATGTGATGGACTGTCTGGCTGCACCCTATGTGGACTTATGGGGAAGCAGGACAAACTGAATCATCCTATGTATGTGCTTAAGGATCAGAAGCGCTTGCTCCCCTAACAATCAGCATCCGAAAGGCTAATTGAATAAAGGACACTTTTTCTCATGTACTGTACAAGATTTCACTGAATAACCTGCTGCTTAAACAGAGATTTCTACAGTCATATTCATAAGGGCAGCAGACATTAAAGAGCTTATAATCAAGGAGGAATTTCAATTGGGTTCAATTTTCAGCAGGGGTAGGGAATTGCTTTTGCCCTCCAGCTGTTGCTTAAATGCAACTCCCATCAGCCCTAGTAAGCATGGCCAATGACCAGGGTTAATGGGAGTTGTAATTCAGTGACATTTGGAGGGCCCAGTGTTCCTGATCCCTGGTTTACAGCATCTACATTGCCTTACAATACAGACTGCTCAGACAACACTATTCCATCTGCCTTAAAGGAAGCCATTCATTTTTTCCCTTTGTCACTTTGATAATGTGTTTCCCCCAAACCTGACCTGGTTAAAGAAGAAATGTAGTCAATTAAACATCTGCACACTCCACATACTCTCTGTGGTACTGAAGAAGCATACATTTGAATGTAAACTATCTCTTGCAGTTTTCATCCTGAATTAACAATGCCCACAAATTCTAGATTCCATACCAAATTATGTTAGATATTTATGTTTAAAATGTGGTATCAGTATCATTTGTAAAAATGTACTATCCATGTTTGCATTTTTTAAACCAAGTTGCCTGTTCTCCAAAAGGATATGCCATTAGACATTTTTTAATTCTAAATATATTTTAAATTTCTCATTGCCTAGCATCAGCGAGAAGCAAAAAAAATCTAGTTTTGTAGTGTGTGGTTTTTTAAAACCACCCAGTTGGGCTAGTTCAGACTTGCCATTTGGCTAATTTTAAACCCAGACTCTTCCACAACCCACAAAACAAATGCATATGCAGTGCTCTACAATAATGCCCTTTTATTCATGTGTACTGTCTATATTCATTTTTTGAAAATAAATTTTTATTAATTTTCCATACAGTTATACATTTTTATCCAAAATACAACAAATTGTCTCTTTCTTGAACTTCCTTCAGCGTCTCTGAGAATCATCCGTATTTATAACTTTAATTACACATTCCCTTCTTTCGTTTTGCCATTATACTTCCCTTCCCCCACTATTTCATATTAACAATACTTCTCTATTTTACAGTGCCTCTTGAAAACCCACTAGCGTTGTGTTCACACCACATATGTTTTTCAGATAATCAACAAACTTTCCCCAGTCTTTGATGAACTTTTGGTCTTTGGTGTATCTGATTTTCCCAGTTAATTTGTCCAATTCACGTAATCTGTCAATTTCAGTCTCCATTCTTCTATCATCGGTATTTCCTCTTGCTTCCATTTCTGGGCCAACAGGATTCTGGCTGCCGTTACTGCATATTGAAAGAGTTTACAGTCTTTTCTTCTTATATCCTTTCCTAGGATCCCTAAAAGAAAAGCCTCCGTTTTTTTTACAAAAGTATATCTTAACATATTTTTCATTTCATTGTATATCATTTCCCAAAAGCTTTTCACTTTCTTACATTCCCACCACACATGAAAGAACGTCCCTTCTTTTTCTTTACATTTCCAACATTTGTTACACGTCTTATACATTGTACTTTCCAAAGCTCAGCCCACTTTATTAATGTATTTACTGGATATTCCCCATAGCCCAGTTTTTTAGGATGATGCATAGTGTTGGCATTTGTCTTAGATCTCTCACTTAGCCAGCTTTTGCTCAGGGCAAAACAAAACAGACATCTGCTTAAAATGTATATACAATAGAGTGACTATTTTAATGAACTGGGCTGCAGTTCTGCCAAATGCATGCTGGAAACGATACAAGCTGTACTGTGAACTTGCTTGACAAATGTGCTCAAATTGCTCTCCTGCCAGTGTATATTCGTAACCACATGCAACTGAATGCTAAGTGAAAACTAAAAATGTCAGTAATGCATTTCTCCCTACTCAGGGTGAGTTAGAAAAAGAAATCTTCCTGTGCAGTAAAGTTGCCTCCAAAAGATGAAATAAGACAACACTGCCAGTAGCGGAACTGTTTGATCAAGTTCTACTGTACTTGATTCAAGGAATAACATTCTCAGTGAATCTCTATATTGGTAAGTTGGGGATATATTAAGCGTAGCTGCACGTTCCATACTTTTGCAAGCAATGCCAGATGGCCTGCAAAACAGATTTTTGAACATGTACGTATGTTATTCTCTAGAGCAGGGATGGGGAACCTATGGCTCTCCAGATGTTGTTGAGCTCCAACTCCATAAGCTCCAACCAGCATGGACCGCAGTCAGGAACAATGGCAACTGCAACCCAATATCTGGAGGGTCACAGGTTACCCATCACTTTATTTTTTTTTTTTAAAAGCAATTTATTAGGTTTTACAATAGGAATAAATGTAATAAACAATATAGCATTCGTCTTAACATATTTTCACATTTTCTTAGGACTTCCTCACATCTCCCGCTCCCACCTTCATCATTATAACATTTTGTCAGCAATTTATCATCTTATTTAAATTCTTAAATCTCTTCGATATTTCATAATCTTAAAGTTCTCATAAAGAGTTAAGCTTTCACAATTTTTCTTGTTTCCTTAAAAATTTCTAAGTTAAGTGGTGCTCAGTTATTTAGTCCAGCATCTTATTCAGCATTCAATCAAATCACAATGTTTTTGTAGGTAGTTCTTAAATTTCTTCCAATCCTCCTCGATTCTCTCTTCTCCCAGGTCACGGATTCTGCCAGTCATTTCAGCCAGTTGCATATAGTCTATCAGTTGCATCTGCCATTCTTCCAGTGTGGGTAGATCTTGGGTTTTCCAATGTTTTGCAAGTAGTATCCTTGCTGCTGTTGTTGCGTACATAAAAATTGTCTGGTCCTTCTTTGCCACCCCTTGGCTGACAATACCCAAAAGGAAAGCCTCTGGTTTCTTAGTGAAAGTATATTTAAATACCTTTTTCAATTCATTGTAAATCATTTCCCAGAACGCCTTCACTTTAGGGCATGTCCACCAGAGGTGAAAGAACGTTCCTTCACACTCTTTGCATTTCCAGCACTTGTTATCAGACAGGTGGTAAATTTTTGCGAGTTTGACTGGGGTCATATACCATCTATAAATCATTTTCATTACATTTTCTTTCAAAGCATTACATGCAGTAAATTTCAATCCATTACTCCACAGCCTTTCCCAGTCCTCAAACATAATATTGTACCCAATGTCCTGTGCCCACCTTATCATAGCCGATTTAACCATTTCATCTTGTGTATTCCATTCCAACAGCAAGTTATACATCCTTGAAAGTATCTTAGTCTTTGGTTCTAACAATTCTGTTTCTAATTTCGATTTCTCCACCTGGAACCCTAGTTTCTTATCACTTTTAAAAACTTCTTTAATCTGAGCATAGTGTAACCAATCTCGCACTTTGTCTTTCATTTTCTCCAAGCTCTGCAATTTCCAATTGTCTCCATCTTTTCTAGTATTTCCCAATATTTTGGCCATTTGGCCTCCATATTGGGTCTTTTCGGGCCTTAGCTTCCAAAGGTGAAAGCCACCTTGGTGTTTTATTTTCCAGCAAGTCTTTATATTTTGTCCAGACATTAAACAGTGATTTTCTAACAATATGGTTCTTAAAGGCCTTATTTGCTTTAACTTTGTCATACCATAAATATGCATGCCATCCAAAAACATTGTTAAACCCCTCCAAATCTAACACATCAGTGTCTTCAAGAAGTAGCCAGTCTTTTAGCCAGCAGAACGCTGCGGCTTCATAGTACAACTTTAAGTCCGGCAGGGCAAAGCCCCTCTTTGTTTTGCATCGGTTAGTATCTTAAACTTAATTCTGGGCTTTTGCCCTGCCAGACAAACTTCGAAATATCTCTCTGCCACTTCTGAAAGCACCCCATTTTGTCCAATACCTGCAGTGTTTGAAATAAAAACAACATTCTTGGCAATACATTCATCTTAATCGCAGCAATTCGGCCTAACAAAGAAAGTTTCAATTTTGACCAACTGTCTAAGTCTCTCTTAATTTCTGTCCAACATTTTTCATAATTATCCTTAAATAGACTTAGATTTTTTGCTGTTATGTTTACCCCTAGGTATTTTACTTTTTTAACCACATTAAGTTCCGTCTCATTCTGAAACCGTTCTGACTCTGTCTCAGTCAGATTTTTCCCCAAAACCTTAGTTTTCTGTTTGTTTAATTTAAATCCCGCCACCCGACCAAAGTCATTAATCAATTGTAATACTCTTTTCGTACTAGGCTCTGGCTTCTGCAAGGTCAAAACCAGGTCATCTGCAAAAGCTTTTAATTTATATTGTTTCTGACCAACCTGAATTCCTTCCACCAGCTGGTCCCTCTGATCATGTTCAATAGCACCTCCAGGACCGAGATAAATAACAAAGGGGAAATAGGGCAACCTTGTCGTGTCCCTTTTTCAATTTTGAACTCTTCTGTAACCACATTATTAACTATCAGTTTTGCTTTCTGTTCTGAATATATCGCCTCAATCCCATTCTCAAAACCCCGTCCCACTCCCATCTCTTTTAAGTTTCCCATCATAAATTTCCAAGAAATGTTATCAAAGGCCTTCTCCGCATCTATAAAAATTAAAACAGCTTTTGTATTTATGTCAGTTTGGAGAAGTTCCAAAATATCAATAATGTTCCTTGTGTTAGCAAACAAATGTCTACCTGGGAGAAAACCGGCCTGGTCCTTATGAATTACTTCATTTAAAACTTTTTTTAAATCTACTTGCCAAAATATCTGCAAATATTTTGTAATCCACATTTAAAAGGGAGATGGGACGGTAGTTCTTCAGTTGTGTCTTTTCAGTTTCTAACTTTGGTATCAATGTGATAAACGCTTCCTTCCACGAATCCGGTGCCCTCTTCCCCTCCATAATTTCATTGCTAACCTCCATCAAAGGTTGTATCAAATAGTCTTTTAGTGTCTTGTAATACTTGGAGGTCAGCCCGTCTGGCCCTGGAGATTTGCCAAGTTGCATGTTCTGAATGGCTTGTTCAATCTCCTGTCGTGTTATTTTAGAGTTCAGGATTGTCCTATTTTCTTGTGACAGTTTAGATAATCCATTTTTGGCAAAAATTGTTTAATCTCAACTTCGTCTTGCGGCCCTTGGGTATATAACTTTTAAAATATCTCTGGAAACACTTTCTAATGTCCACTGGATTCTGAATGTTTCTTCCATCAACCTCTAAATTTGTAACCGTGTTTAATCTTTGTCTTCTCTTCAACTGCCAAGATAGCAGTTTTCCACATTTATTCGCCGACTCAAACGTTTTTTGTTTCATTAATTTGATCTTCCATTCAATTTCCTGATTTATCAATTTAGAATACTGTGTTTGATAAAGTTTAATTTCTCTCAGAGTTGGCTGTGACTTTAGATTCACTCTTAATTTCTTCTCCAAGTCTTTTATTTTATCCAAAATCTTGTCTTTTTTCTCATTTTGTGTTTTTTTCTTTACTACATTCTGTTGTATCAGAAAACCCCTCATGACAGCTTTGCTTGCGTCCCAGACGATTCTTTTTTCCACCGAATTGTTCATATTTATCTCAAAATAATCTTTCAAAACTTTTTGGGCCTTCTTGGTAATTTCCTGATCTCTAAACAAATTGTCATTCATCTTCCATCTAAAGGATCCAGTTGGTAGTAGTGTCATGTCCATCTTTACTGCGTTGTGGTCAGAACAGGTCTTTGGGCAGATTTCCACTTTTCTAACCCTAGGTGCCAGGCCTCTAGAGATCCATATTTGGTCGATTCTTGTCCAGGTCAGTTGGGCTTCAGAAAAGAATGTTCCTTCTCTACCTAGTGGGTTTTTGTTCTCCAAATGTCGATCAAGTCCATATTGTCAGTCATTTCAAAAAAGGTTTTAGGTAGTCTGCCATCTTTTGTGATGTTTTGACTTTGCGACTTGTCCATGTTAGTTGACACGACCCCGTTCATGTCTCCCATCATTATGATGTTGTTGTAATCCAGATGATCCAGCATTGTCCCCTGCAACTTCTTGTAAAATTCCGATTTCCCTTCATTAGGCGCATAGATTCCTAATATCAGCAATTTCTCTCCTTGATATTGTATCTCAATAGCCAAAATCCTTCCATGTTCATCTTTAAATAGAAATTTAGGTGACAGGCTCTCTTTTGCATATATCACCACTCCTCTCTTCTTCACTTTATCCGACGAAATAAATTCCTGGCCCAATCTTTTATTTGTTAACACTTTTCTGTGGAGCCTCGTCACATGTGTTTCTTGTAAACAAATAATGTCCAATTGTTCTTTTTTTAATATATGAAAAATTTTCTTCCTTTTCTCCGGGATATTGCAACCATTAATATTCCAGCTCAACAGTTGCAGAGACATCCTGGATCTATCTGGTTATTTCTCCTGGGGTGGTGTCTTCTCTTGATCTTCAAGTTCCCGAGGTGGAGGTATTGATGCTGGCTTTGCCTCAGGCCCGGAAGGTAATTCAATTCCTTTATGTAGGTCCTCTCCGTGTGTAGCCAAAAATTTATCTCTCTCTTCCAATGTTCTAATTTTAACCTTTCTCGCTCTAAAGGTAAAAGACAATCCCTGGGGAAAATCCCACCTGAATGGAATTGCGTTGCTCCTTAATAGTTTAGCTAGTTCAGAATAGGCGGCTCTAAGATCCAACAGTTGTCTTGGGATATCTTTATATATCTCAATTCTTCTATCCAAAACTTCCAGTGACTTTTCGTAATGTAGGCCCAAAATCTTATCCCTTTCCTCCTTCGATCTCAATGTAATCAAACAATCCCTGGGCCTCTCCTTCTTTATAAATCTTCCAAGTCTGAAAGCTGACACAATTTTAAAGTCCTTTTCTTCCAAATTCCAGAACTTGGAGAGTTCTTTGGTCAAAAACTCAGTTAGATTTCCTTCTTCTGCCTCTTGTAATGATCTAATCCTCAGATTATTCTCACGATTTCGCAGTTCTATCATAGAAAGATAAATCTGATGTTCCCCAACTTGTTTAGTGAGTGGTCTTACCTCTTGCTCTAAATTTTCCAATTTTTGTCTGGTGTCCTCAGCCAATTTTCGATTTTCTACTGAGGCCTCCGTCAACTGTCCAATTGCTTGTGTATTCTGTCCCACCTGTGTAGTTAATTTGTTTAGACACTCTGTATTTTTATCAATCTTTGCTGATTGCGCATCTACTTTCTTGTCCAAAGCTTCCAATTTTTCAAAGATTTTTCTAGCACAGAAGCAGATGCTCCTGAGGCCATATCTTCCAATTGTAACTGCTCTACTTCACCCTCTCCCTCTTTTGCCTGTGGCAAGGCAGCTTCTTCAAGTTGTACTTCTGAGGGCAAAGTAGGCACAGATGATCTACGTGTCTGCGAGGCTGAGGTTAGATTTGTTAGAGTTGTTTGTCTAACTCTTCCTCTTCTTCTTGTACCACTCATTCCAATGTTATCTATCAGTCAAGGTCACACTGAGTTTTCCCACAGGAATAGAGAGTCCCAGAGCAAGCAGACAACAAGAGAATCGAAAGTAAATGTTTTTATAAAGTCACTGTTTTAATCCAATCCTCTAGAGGAGCTTAAAATGTCTTTTCAGAGTCTGATTTAATGTCCCAGAACCTTCCAATATAAGTATTAAGCAGAGTTTAAAGGTAATCACTTTGTTGCAGACAGTGCCTATTTGTCTCCAAAAAGAATGTTTCAAATTTAAAATGTCTCAATGCCCTCAAATTGTTGCAACTTCCAGTATACAGTATCCAAGTCAAACACTGACAGCCCACTGTTACAATGCTCAGGCAGTCCTGACTCTGAGGTTACCCATCACTTTAGAGGCTCTTAGAGCTAAAGTCCCATTGCGCAAAGTCCAGAATAGCAAGAGAAAATAAAAATCCAGAGAGATTGTGGAGAATACTTATGCAAAAAGTAGTAACTCTTCCTGTATTTGTGGACAACAATGAGTAGCACTAGGGATTCCCAGTCGCAATGGTTTACATATTGAAATGCCATCACAATACAATGTACAGTACAGGGCAAGTAGGCTCAGTCTTGCTTCTATAAAACCTCTACCTTTTCCCTTATTTTCAACCACCAAGGCTCACAGAGCACTGCAGCTAAGGCAGGAGAACTCCCTTATCCACCTCTCCTGCAGTGCTGGGCCAGATCTTCTGTGGCACAAGCTTCAATGGTTCCCCATCTGTTACAAATAGACATGTTTAGGTTGCACAGACACACGGTTTGTGCACGTCTTCTGTGTCACACGAAAGAAACATGTGCTGCATTTTTGGACCCAAGCTCCACCAACCTTTCTGCACGTTATAAAACAGACTTTGTCTCTCATCATCTTGTGAAGTATTGGCAGAGATTCAACTGTGACATAATATGCAACAATGTCATAAGGGAATAGGTTGCTAATCATAGTTCTGCAGAGTTAGGAGGGACTCCGGGGTAATCTAGTCCAACCCCCTGAAATGCAGAAATATCAACATGCCCCACTGGATAGTCCCCCATCTAATTTGAAATCATGCCAGGCTCTACTTAGCTTTGCAAGTGTGCTAACAGTTTTATTGCTGCACTGCAAGCTTCAACAGCAGAACATCAGATACAGACCAAAACCATGAGGCTACAACCTTTTACACATCTATGTGTGCAGAAGCACAGCTGTAAACATTGATGGCATTTAATACTCAATAACGGGGTGCAGGATTCCAGATTTAGCAAGTAAGCAACAAAGAAAGCCATCTAATTGAAGCTATATTTGTTTTTAATTGCCGTACATTTCTGATGAACTATTCTGGGGGTATTAGTTCTAGAAGCACTATCATTCTTTAGACAATTGCACAATGCAGTTTATCAATACATTCAGAATCAAGGCGTCTGCACATACTTCTTCCTTAAAGAAACTGGCTCACTGGATGTTCTGCTACTTGCACTTCATTGAAACTTATAGTTCCCTGACGTGCTGTGTACAAATGGTATTTCCATTCTGTTTACAATAGCTTGACCATGCTGTATAAGGACGGTATACCTTTCTCTGGCATTTTTGCTTGTTTTATGGCCACCCAACCAGTCAATCTGCAGCAACAACTACATTTTAGCCTTTACTGATACTCCTACTGCGCTTCTTTTTCAGTGTGAGAGTTGTCCTCTATTCTCATGTGCAAAATAGTGCAAGCTGAGATACCAACTTTGCATGACAAATGAGAAACAAATGTTTTGTGACAAATTTGTTGTGCCTAGAAGGGGCAATGTCAGGAGTCCAGTCCCCGGCTTGATAACACAGTGAGCGTAGTTAATTAAAAAGGATGATTTATTGTCAAGACAAACAGATAACTCCGGATGGCATTAACACAGCCACCGGCATCATGAATTACGATGACCCTTCTAAAGGTCCCTTCTGTTTCCTAGATATCCACTTGGTCCCAGAGTATTGATGAATGAAACATTTCAAAGTGGTCACATGATTGAGATAGCAATAGCCTGATTTCAGTGTCCAGTCTTGTAATTATGTACCCAAACTGATGATTAAACAATCGCAAACGCATCATCATCATCATCATTTTTATTTATACCCTGCCCTCCCCAGCTCAGGGCGGCTAACAAGCAATAATAAAAACAAGTTGAATGAATACAACTTAAAAACAAAATTAAAATACAACAATTAAAATATTGAAACATTAAAATATTAAAATGCAGCCTCATCACAGGAGGAGAAAGGAAAAAGAAAAAAAGAGGGGGGAGGGAATCAAATTGGCTCCAAGCGAAAGGCCAGGCGGAACAACTCTGTCTTACAGGCCCTGCAGAAAGAAATCAGATCCTGCAGGGCCCTGGTCTCAAGAGACAGAGCGTTCCACCAGGCCGGGGCCAGAGTTGAAAAGACCCTGGCTCTGGTTGAGGCTAATCTGACTTCCTTAGGGCCCGGGACCACTGGGGTGTTGCTATCTATGGACCTTGAGGCTCTCCGTGGGGCATACCGGGAGAGACGGTCCCGTAGGAAGCTAAAGCCCCGTCCCCAATCCCCAATGACCTCCCACATAACAAGTTTTAGAGCTGATTTACTTATTAGAGACAATTTGGACATGTAGGACCCTGGCCTTCATGTGCTCCCTCCTCCCCTGTCCTCCAGTATTGCTGCAAGGAGGAAATCAGAGGTTTATTTGTGGTACTGCAGTGATGAGCCACTGCACACAAATATTCCAGGACGGGACAAAACTAGGCTTTCTTTCACCCAGGCCAAAGACCCAGTTTGACACCCACACCCACACCCACACGGCTGGGAGCCTCAATGACGCCCCTATGGAGGCTTCACCCAGGGCAAAAACCCCAGCTAGCCCCCAACCCCAGTCACTACAGCACTGCTCCAGAATAATAACCAATATGTGAAACAAATTAAAGTTGCTTCCACAGTCTGTTCATAATCTGTTAATTTGGCTCTCAGGTGCCAATTGTTATTTGAAATAGGAGCTGAGTGCTTCAAAATAAGTCTTCACCTCTAGAAAATACGGTAATTCATGTAGCAAACACATGTGGGAGTTAAGCTCCACTGAACACAAAGGCACTTGCTTCAGAATAGACAAGTATAGTATTGTGCTGTCAGTTGTTCTCCTTAAACAACAGATGAAAGTGAATGAAGTATCCCTTGTGGAGGGTGTTGCATGACAACGTCTGTTTTTAAAGTTTTGGTGCCATAAAATCTCAAACACAGCAACAAAAATGCATTTCCATAATTTGAAAAAGGGGAGAAGTATCCTTCTGAAAAGGGTACATGCATGCTGCAAGGGCCAGTCAGTTTAGTGTCCAGATGTGACAGATTTTTAACAAAAGTTAATATCCTTAAGTACTATTACAAATTAACACCCTGAAGGCCTTTAGCCTACTAAAGTGTGACCTTGCTTTCTCCACTACCAGAGCATGCAGTGTTACTGGAGATAACGTGGCACAACCTCTCGGGTTAAATTAGAGCTGCAACCAACAACTATAATTCGAACATGGCTACTGTTGGGGAGCTTATAACTGTCAGTTAACACAGCTGCAGCTGATCCATTCATAGAATTCCATAAAATACAGTATATCACTTTCCCAGCTGTTGTCTAGATGCCTTATTAGAGAGCACCTGCCTGCTGGGCTGTTGTCCCCTGAATGACATGCCAGCCTCCTGAGATTACTTCTTAGCACCTGCTTTTCTGCCCTGTCTTTCCTCAGATTGCAAGAAGAGATTCCAACGGATTTAAGCTTATCCTGAGTTTCTGGCCATAGCATAACAGGGGCAGAATTATTATCCATTACGTCATTTCACTGTAAAGAGATTACAGCTCCACAGTTTAAAATAAATAAATAAATCAGGATATAGATTACACTCTCTATGACTGTTATTTATTTACACAGCATTCTTCAGGATAAGAGTTTCTTCAAGAGACACCAGTGTATTTCTTCAGTATCACAGGATCATTTTTAATGGGGCTAAGGAAGGGAAACAAGAGACACTTTATTTTGGATATATTTGTGTTTTGCTTCATTGAGAGCCTGTGTCACAGCCCTATTATACAATATAGCACAGGCCTGAGGAATAGTCTGTGGGTTGCCAGCTTTTCAAGTGATAAATCTAGGTGCGTTTTGAACAGTCACTTGGTGTGGAAATGCCAGCAAGTAATACTTTCCTCTCTATTATGTGAAAAAATTCACATGTTGATTTCTGTGTATCACAGAAGAGCAGCACATTGCATTTTTCTGATTTTTTGGTAACAACCAGCTACATCATTAAGCCACTACTGTGCACCTCTAGGCTGGCTTGCAAAAACAGGACCGCAAGAAAGCCAGCCCTAGACAAAACAGCACCCCAGCTGACAAGCACCTTCAACACACAGAGAATACTTTTTGATTATTAAATAATACATGGCTGAAAAGATCATTCTAGGAGATTTGAGGGAAACGTAGTTAAAGAACACTCCAAAAGGTTTTGCTCTCATATAATGATTAACACAATAATGACCCAGCTATTGTCATTATTAGAGGAGGAAAGAGAACTCAGATTTAACAGTGATCATATCAGTTGGAAAATCACTGACAAACACACACATTTGCCAAAGAATGTTCTTGGGAGAACTGATTCTGTACCTAATGACAATATTTGGCACTGGGTAAGTTTCCACACAAAGTGCTTGAAAGTGCCACAAATCCAACTCAATGGTGTAACGTTGGAAATTGTTGATCACTTCTCCTACCTAGGCAGTTATCTTTCCACAAGGGCCAACATTGATGCCGAAATCCAGCATTGCCTGAGCTCTGCGAGTGCAGCTTTCTCCCAACTGAAGTGTTTGAGGACTGGGACATTCACAGGGAAACGAAAATGCTTGTTTACAAAGCTACTGTACTACCAACCTTACTATATGCTTGTGAACCATGGACCACTTAGAAACGCCATCTCCAGCTCCTTAGAATCATAGAATCATAGAGTTGGAAGAGACCACAAGGGCCATCGAGTCCAACCCCCTGCCAAGCAGGAAACACCATCAGAGCACTCCTGACATATGGTTGTCAAGCCTCTGCTTAAAGACCTCCAAAGAAGGAGACTCCACCACACTCCTTGGCAGCAAATTCCACTGTCAAACAGCTCTTACTGTCAGGAAGTTCTTCCTAATGTTTAGGTGGAATCTTCTTTCTTGTAGTTTGGATCCATTGCTCCGTGTCCGCTTCTCTGGAGCAGCAGAAAACAACTTTCCTCCCTCCTCTATGTGACATCCTTTTATATATTTGAACATGGCTATCATATCACCCCTTAACCTCCTCTTCTCCAGGCTAAACATGCCCAGCTCCCTTAGCCGTTTCTCATAAGGCATCGTTTCCAGGCCTTTGACCATTTTGGTTGCCCTCCTCTGGACACGTTTCAGTTTGTCAGTGTCCTTCTTGAACTGTGGTGCCCAGAACTGGACACAGTACTCCAGGTGAGGTCTGACCAGAGCAGAATACAGTGGCACTATTACTTCCCTTGATCTAGATGCTATACTCCTATTGATGCAGCCCAGAATTGCATTGGCTTTTTTAGCTGCCGCGTCACACTGTTGGCTCATGTCAAGTTTGTGGTCAACCAAGACTCCTAGATCCTTTTCACATGTACTGCTCTCAAGCCAGGTGTCCCCCATCTTGTATTTGTGCCTCTCATTTTTTTTGCCCAAGTGCAATACTTTACATTTCTCCCTGTTAAAATTCATCTTGTTTGTTTTTGCCCAGTTTTCTAATCTGTCAAGGTCGTTTTGAAGTGTGATCCTGTCCTCTGGGGTGTTAGCCACCCCTCCCAATTTGGTGTCATCTGCAAATTTGATCATGATGCCCTTGAGTCCATCATCCAAGTCGTTGATAAAGATGTTGAATAAGACCGGGCCCAAGACAGAACCCTGTGGCACCCCACTAGTCACTCTTCTCCAGGTTGAAGAGGAACCATTGATGAGCACCCTTTGGGTTCGGTCAGTTACAAATCCACTGAGTGGTAGCATAGTCAAGACCGCATTTTACCAGCTTCTTTACAAGAATATCATGGGGCACCTTGTCAAATGCCTTGCTGAAATCAAGGTAGGCTACATCCACTGCGTTCCCTTCATCTACCAGGCTTGTAATTCTGTCAAAAACGAGATCAGGTTAGTCTGACATGACTTATTTTTCAGAAATCCATGCTGACTATTGGTGATCACAGCATTCCTTTCTAGGTGCTCACAGACTGTTTGCTTAATGATCTGCTCCAGAATCTTCCCTGGTATTGATGTCAGACTGACTGGGCGGTAATTATTTGGGTCCTCTCTTTTCCCTTTTTGAAAATAGGGACAACATTTGCCCTCCTCCAGTCTGCCGGGACTTCGCCTGTTCTCCAGGAATTCTCAAAGATGACTGCCAGTGGTTCTGAGATCACATCTGCCAGTTCTTTTAATACTCTTGGATGCAGTTCATCTGGCCCTGGAGACTTGAATACATCTAAACTAGCCAAGTATTCTTGTACTATCTCCTTAGTTATTCTGGGCTGTGTTTCCTTTGCTGAATCATTTGCTCCAAATTCTTCAGGTCGGGCATTGTTTTCTTTATCAGAGAAGACTGAGGCAAAGAAGGCATTGAGGAGTTCAGCCCTTTCTGTGTCCCCTGTTTGCATTTCACCATCTTCTCCTCTGAGTGACCCCACTGTTTCTTTGTTCTTCCTTTTGCTACGATCATACCCATAAAAGCCTTTTTGTTGCTTTTAACCTCTCTAGCAAGCCTGAGTTCATTCTGTGCTTTAGCTTTTCTGACTTTGTGTCTACACGTGCTGGCTATTTGTTTGAATTCCTCTTTGGTGGTTTCCCCCCTTTTCCATTTTTTGTACACATCCTTTTTAAGCTTAACTCAGTTAAAAGTTCTTTAGATAGCCACCCTGGCTTCTTTAGGCACCTTCCATGTTTCCATCTCATTGGTATTGCCTGACGTTGTGCTTTTAGTATCTCCCTCTTAACAAACTCCCAGCCATCATGAACTCCCTTTCCTTTTAGTATTACTGTCCATGGGATCTCACCCAGCACTTCCCTAAGTTTTATGAAGTCGGCTTTCTTAAAGTCAAGAAATTGAGTCCTAGTATGCTTGGCTGCTCCTTTCCGCTGTATAGTAAACTTCAGAAGAGCATGATCACTCGCGCCTAATGATCCTTCCACTTCTACCCCACTAACCAGGTCATCAACATTGCTTAGGACCAGATCTAAAATGGCTGTTCCTCTTGTTGCTTCTCCCACTTTCTGGACAATGAAGTTGTCTGCAAGGCCAGTGAGGAATCTGTTTGACCTTATGCTCTTGGCTGAGTTTGACATCCAACAAATATCCAGGTAATTGAAGTCCCCCATTACTACTATCTCCCTTCCTTTTGCATGCTTGGCCATCTGTTCCAGGAAGGCATCATCTATGTCCTCCGTTTGGCTTGGGGATCTACAGTAAACTCCCACAATGAGGTCACTGTTATTCTTCTCTCCCTTAATTTTGACCCAAATGCTCTCACTTTGGCTTTGAGGTTCTAAATCTTGGATTTCTTCACAGGTATACACATCCCTGACATATAACGCCACTCCTCCTCCTTTCTTGTCTGGTCTGTTTCTCTGAAATAGATTGTATCCCTCCATTATTACATTCCAATCGTGGGACTTATCCCACCAGGTTTCAGTGATGCCTATTATGTCATATTTAGTTTGCTGTACCAAGAGCTCAAGCTCATCTTGTTTATTTCCGTGCTTTGCGCATTAGTTTACAGACATTTAAGTCCATTAATCATTCCCCGTGTCTCTTATTTAAGGATTTTTTCCTCCCACCACTAGGTCTGCGTGCTGTTTGCTCCATTTGGTCTATGACATTTGGATGATCATCTTCATCAATTGATAGACTCCTACCTTCAGGAGCACTGTCTCCTCCCCCACATTAGTCAGTTTAAAGCCCTCCTGATGAGGTTTCTGAGATTTTTGGCAAAAACATTTCTCCCAACCGTTGTGAGGTGCAGCCCATCGCTTGCCAGAAGTCCATCTTCAAGAAACTGCAGTCCGTGATCTAAGAATCCAAACCGTTCCTGTTTACACCATTTGCGAAGCCAGCTGTTCACTTCCACTATTTTTCCCTCTCTCCCTGGGCCACGTCGTTCAACTGGGAGGACAGATGAGATGACAATTTGTGCATTTAATTGCTTCAATTTCCTGCCCAGAGCCTCGTAGTCTCTTTTGATCTTCTGGAGGCTATGGCTTGCAGTGTCATTGGTTCCCACATGAACCAAGAGGAAGGGGTATTTGTCAGTGGGTTTTATGATTCCTTGCAGTCGTTCAGTTACATCTTGGATCTTAGCCCCGGGAGACAGCACACTTCCCGAGACATCTTGTCAGGCCCACAGATCCCTGCTTCTGTTCCCCTCAGTAGGGAATCCCCTATCACCACTACACGCCTCCTCTTAGGTTTGGTCGGGGTTCTTCCGTGAGCTGTCCGTTCCAAGGTCGCCTGCACATTCCCTGAGGACTGACTTTGCTGCTCGTCTTCATATACCTGATCGACTGTAATGAGGGAGAGATCCTCAAATGGAGTCTGCTCTTCGTCTTCCATGCTAGGGGAGAGGACCTCAAAGCGATTGTGTATTTCTAAACAATCAGAGTGAACCCTGGGCCTCCTACTTCTTTGAGTCACGTTTCTCCATATATCTGGCTCCTGTGTTGGTGAACTAGCCTCCTTCTCAGGGGAGTCCCCTGTCTCCTCCTTGGTGGAGATGGTGTGCTCTGTTGCTTCCAAGAAGAGCTCCAGCTCTCTAATTCTTTGGAGCGTAGCTACACGTTCCTCCAGTTGCTGGACTTTGTCTTTTAAGAGGGCAATCAACATGCAATTGCTGCAGGTAAAGCTGCCTGCAACCTTTGGCAAGATGGCAAACATTGCGCAGGAACCGCAGGCGACTGCAGCTGTTCCCTCCCCCTCCATCTTGAGAACGTGTCGTTGGGGGTGGCTACAGCAGTCCTCCATCATAAAAAGCGTGAAGACAGGACAAATAACTCCCCCCACAAAAAATCCTAGGTCTCCCCCAACAAACGGTTGAGACTAGCTCCCCTAAATCTAAAAGATGGATCAAACTGCCACTGCTCTGCAAACTCTGATAAGCTCCTCCCACAGCTAATCACCTGCCTCAACAGAAACCCTGCCCCCTCTGACCTTTGCACAGGGAGAACAGCTAATCAGCCACAAAGAAACACACACACACAAACACAAACACACACAGACGAGAAAACCCTTTTTGCTCCTTCTTCAACTGCTACCCTGCAAGCTCTGATAAGCTCCTCCTACAGCTAATCACCTGCCTCAACAGAAACCCTGCCCCCTCTGACCTTTGCACAGGGAGAACAGCTAATCAGCCACAAAGAAACACACACACACACACACACACACACACAAGAAAACCCTTTTTGCTCCTTCTTCCTTGAAAGATTCCATCAACGGTGTCTCCGAAAAATTTTACACATCACTTGGGAAGACAGGCGATCTAATACAGTGGTGCCTCGCAAGACGAAATTAATTCGTTCCAAGACTACCTCCTGAATTAAAAGACCGCCTGGAGAAGGTGATACCACCGACAGAAGAGGAACAGGCACTTGGTGCAGTTGGAGGAGAAGTAAAGTAACTACATCATGGCTCTGCAACTATTAACCTGGAATTGTAATGGTCTCAACTCCCCTCAGAAAAGGAAAACTGTGTTTCATTTATTAAAAAGTAACAATTGGACTTGATTTGTCTACAGGAAACACACGTAACAAGGCTACACAGGAAAGTATTGATCAACAAAAGACTGGGCCAAGAGTTTATTTCTTCGGACAAGGTTAAAAAAAGAGGGGTAGTGATTTATGCAAAGGAGAGACTATTACCGAAATTTATCTTCAAAGATGACCAAGGAAGATTTGTGGCAATTGAAATTCAAATACAAGGAGAGAAATTTTTGATAGTAGGAGTTTATGCACCAAATGAGGGGAAATCTGAATTTTTTAAAAAGTTGCATGAGACCTTGATGGACTATTTGGATTAAAATGTGATTTTGATAGGAGACATGAACGGAGTGGTATCTACACATATGGACAAGGCACAAAGACAGGTAGTCACTAAGGACGGCAGACTACCGAAAACCTTTTTTGAGATGACAGACAACTTGGACTTAGTTGATATCTGGAGAACAAAGAATCCCCTGGCCAGAGAGAGAACCTTCTTCTCTGAAGCCAAACTGACATGGACAAGAATTGGTAACTAGAGGAATGGCACCAAAGACAAGAAAAGTGGAAATCTGCCCAAAAACCTGCTCCGACCATAATCCTGTGAAGATGGAGATGAAACTAATACCAACTGGTTCCTTCAGATGGAGGATGAATGACACCTTATTCAGAGATGAAGAAGTGCTTAAGAAGGCCCAAAAAACCTTGAGAGATTATTTTGAGATAAATATGAACACCAATGTGGAAAAAGAGTAATCTGGGACGCAAGCAAAGCTGTTATGAGAGGGTTCTTGATACAACAGAACGCATTAAAGAAGAGAATCCAAAATGAGAAGAAGGATAAAATATTGGAGAAAATAAAAGAAAGTGAAAAGAAATTGAGAGCAAAACCAAAGTCGCAAGAGATTTTGAGAGAAATAAAGTTACATCAAGTACAATACATGAAAATGATGAATCAGGAGATAGAATGGAAAATCAAACAAATGAGACAAAAGACATTCGAGTCGGCTAATAAATGTGGGAAATTGTTGGCTTGGCAAATGAAAAAAAGACAAAAATTAAATACGGTTACACATTTAGAAGTGGAAGGAAGGAACATACAGAACCCAGCTGAGATTAGAAACTGTTTCCAGAGGTACTTTAAACAACTATATACACAAGGACCACAGAAAGAAATTGATTTAGATCGATTTTTGAAAAAAAATGGATTACAAAAAATCTCTCAGGAAAATAAATTAATGTTGAACTATAAAATAACTGAACAGGAGATAGAAGATGCCATTCAGAATATGCAACTAGGTAAATCTCCAGGACCGGATGGACTGACCTCTAAATATTACAGATCCTTAAAAGAATGGTTAGTACAACCTTTGAAAGAGGTCTGTAATGAAATAATGGGTGGGGAAAGGGCACCAGAGTCGTGGAAAGAAGCGTATATTACACTTGTACCGAAAACAGAGACTGAAAAGACGCAGCTCAAGAACTATCGCCCCATATCATTGCTCAATGTGGATTATAAAATCTTTGCAGACATTTTGGCTAAAAGACTAAAAAAAGTCTTAATGGAAGAGATTCATAAAGACCAAGCAGGCTTTCTCCGGGTAGACATTTGTCTGATAATGTGAGAAATATAATTAACATTTTAGAAAAATTACAAGTGAACATAAATACCAAGGCAGTTTTGATATTTGTGGACGCGGAGAAAGCTTTTGACAACATTTCCTGGAGTTTTATGAAGAAGAATCTACAGGGGATGGGGGTAGGCCAAGGCTTTGAAAACGGTATAAGTGCAATTTATTCAGAACAAAAGGCTAAATTAATTGTAAATAACGTGGTGACAGAAGAATTTAAGATAGAAAAGGGACACGACAAGGTTGCCCAATCTCCCCATTGCTTTTTATATCGGTCCTGGAGGTCCTGCTGAATATGATTAGAAGGGACCAATTGGTTAAAGGTATACAAATTGGAGCTAAACAGTACAAGTTGAGAGCATTTGCAGATGACTTAGTATTGACGTTACAGGAGCCAGAATCTAGTACCAAAAGGGTTTTGGAACTGATTCAAGAATTTGGTCAGGTTGCAGGATTTAAACTGAATAAGTTAAAAACTAAGGTCTTAGAGAAAAATTTAACACCGATTGAAAGAGAGAGGTTTCAGAATGAGACAGGTTTAACAGTGGTTAAGAAAGTGAAATACCTGGGGATTAACATGACAGCAAAAAATGGGAATTTATTCAAAGACAATTACGAAAAATGTTGGGCTGAAGTGAAAAAAGATTTAGAAATTTGGTCAAATTTGAAGCTTTCACTGCTAGGCCGTATTGCTGCGATAAAAATGAATGTATTGCCTAGAATGTTGTTTCTGTTTCAAACATTGCAGATTTTGGACAAAATGGATTGTTTCAAGAAGTGGCAGAGAGATATCTCCAGATTTGTCTGGCAGGGCAAGAAGCCTAGAATAAAATTTAAAATACTAACAGATGCAAAGGAAAGAGGTGGATTTGCCCTGCCAGACCTTAAACTTTATTATGAATCGGCAGCTTTTTGCTGGTTGAAAGAATGGCTGCTTCTTGAAAACACAGACATTTTGGATTTAGAAGGTTTTAATAATGTATTTGGATGGCATGCATACTTGCGGTATGATAAGGTCAAAGCACACAAAGCATTTAAAAATCATATTGTCAGGAAAGCATTGTTTAATGTTTGGATAAGATATAAGGACCTACTGGAAAACAAAACCCCAAGGTGGCTGTCACCGATGGAAGCGAAAGCTCAGAAAAAGCTCAATATGGAGGTCAAATGGCCGAAATATTGGGAAATTTTGGAACAAGAGGGAGATAGACTGAAGTTGCAGAGTTTTGAGAAATTAAAAACAAAGTGCGAGACTGGCTTCATTATTATCAGATAATGGAGGCATACAATTTGGACAAGAAAATTGGCTTCCAGGTGGAAAAATCAAAATTAGAAACAGAACTGCTAGAACCCAAAACTAAGATTTTGTCAAAGATGTATAACTTGCTGTTGAAATGGAATACACAGGATGAAACGGTGAAATCTGCCATGATTAAATGGGCACAAGATGTTGGACATAACATAATGATGGCTGACTGGGAACAGTTATGGACCACAGGTATGAAGTTCACGGCATGTAATTCCTTAAGAGAGAATATTATGAAAATGATATACAGGTGGTACATGACACCAGTCAAGCTTGCAAAAATCTATCATTTGCCCGATAATAAATGTTGGAAATGTAAAGAAACTGAAGGTACATTCTTTCACCTTTGGTGGACGTGCCCAAGGATTAAGGCTTTCTGGGAGATGATTTATAATGAAATGAAAAGGGTATTTAAATATACCTTTCTGAAGAAACCAGAGGCCTTTCTCCTGGGCATGGTCGGCCAAATGGTGTCAAAGAAGGACAGAACTTTCTTTATGTATGCCACAACAGCAGCAAGAATACTTATTGCAAAGTATTGGAAGACACAAGATCTACCCACTCTGGAAGAATGGCAGATGAAGGTGATGGACTACATGGAACTGGCGGAAATGACTGGCAGAATCCGAGACCAGGGAGAAGAGTCGGTGGAAGAAGATTGGAAGAAATTTAAAGACTATTTACAGAAATATTGCAAAATTAATGAATATTAGAATGATGTCAGAATGAAGTTAAGTGGTTTAAGCAGCAATGTTATAAAGGTGTATGTAAAAATGGATTGTTAACAGGTGAGAATCCAAAGTTATAATATATTATGTCAAAGGATTAAGATAAAAACAAAGAGGGAAAGAAATTGCTGAATTAACTAACTGAATTGGAATACAAAAAAGGGAGGTGTGAGGAGGTCAGGGAAACAAGGAAATGAATGTAAGGTATGGAAAGATTGATTTATTTTTTTAAGTGTTTTTTTATTCTTTTTCTGTATTTTGTATTTTTTCTTTTATTTTTACTTTTGTCTTTCTTTTTTCCCCTTTTTTAATTCGTGTAATTCTTTTCTTTGAAACCTTAATAAATATCATTTTTTTTAAAAAAAGAGAGAGTCAACTGCTTCTTCCGTGGAGTGAAGCCACATAGCCGTTGCCGGAGAGCGCTGCCTTTTTCCTGGGACAATTTGGCTTTTAAAACAATTACCTGTGAGTAGCTCAATTTCGAACAATTGGACTTTAAATAATGACCTGCAAGTAGAAAGGAAAATTGGACTAAGAAATTCTTCTCAATTTGGCACTGAAACGGGAAGGTCTAAACAGGAAGTCAGCCTTCCGTTTCTTGTAGATAGATTAAAGCAAAGACATGGCAAACTAGAGTTCAGAAAATCATTTGTAAAGGATTAACTTTCATCATTTAAAATTGTTGAACCCCTCTCGGAAGCAGGAGAAGAGGGGGGATTTTTTCCGGACTGGTTAAACCTGCAGAAGAGAGTGTAAAGAAAAGTAATTTTCCACCGTCTTGAACCTGGGAGCGGGGTGTCAGGACTGACGTTCTTTGGGAAGTTCATTGACCATAGACAAACGTCTTTGACAGACAGTTAAAAGAAGAGAAACACAGTGATTCCATCGTTCTCCTTCGCATTTTAAAGGAACAAATATTGACAAAATATCTGAAAAAGGAAACTTTGTTGCTAGATCTACTTTTAAAAGAAAAGATCAAATAGAAGTTCTTCCCCTAGAGGGAGCCTGTGAAACTGTTACTAAATCTAAATCGGGAGCGCTGCAGCTGCAACAGATTACAATCGTGGGAACAGACTTCTGACCTTGTATAACAATGTATTCAGAAGCTCTGGTGCGTGCTTTCTGCAAAACAAGTGCCCTATTGGAACAGTTACATGAGAAGACGGACTTGATGACTGTTGCGATCAGAAATTTTGGACAGGTAGTGGGTAACTATATAGAACCCACCCAGGAATCAAATCAGGAGTGTGCTCTGACAGATCAGATGAGGGAAGAGGATGTTGCTGGACCTTGGGTGCCAGAGATGGAGGGAGCTGTGGCCCAGCAGGAACATGAGTTGTTGGATTTGACAAATGAACTTGGAAAAAGCCAGGCTTGGAGAGATAGAGTTTTGTCTGGTTTGGAAATGGGGGGTTGGGTAGACCCCCCTATGCAGGGATGTTTGGACTTTTCAAGTCTGGCAATGGGCCGTGAGATGTTTGGGGTTGTGGGGGCTCTTAATTCTGGAGGGATTTTGAAACATGTTTTTAAATACCACATGGAGTTTAGTGTGGACTATGGAAAAGGGGCTGATTTGTCGAGAAGGGTCAAAAACACTGTCAAGTTGGAGTTTCCACGAGTGAAAGGAGCAGGAGACAAAGTAAAGTACAGGTATAAATATGAAGAAGAGCTGCGGAAGGGACATGGAAGAGACTTAAGGGCCTCGGACATAAGATTACCAGGTTAATGAGCTAGATTGATGGGATAGAAAGGACTGACAAAACCCGGGACCAGGAGGAAGAGACGCTGGATGAAGATTGGAAGAAAGTTTTTTTAAAAAATTTTTTTATTAGGATTGTTTTATAAAATTGATGAATGTTAGAAAAATGTTGGAACGAAATCATTTGGCTTTAGCAAAAATGTTAAAAGAATATTGTAAGAATATGTTATAATTATGAGAAACTGGTATAAATAAGATCTAAGTTTTAAGTTTTAGGGTCTTTTATAGTAAGATAAGGTTAAAATAGATTAAGGTAATTTAATGACAGAATATTATGAAAAATGGAAAGGATTTGCTGTGATAATTAACAACTAGGATACAAAAAAGGGAGGAGTGAGGAGGTCGATGAAATAAGGCAATGACAGTTAAGGATTTTGGAATATTGGATTTGTTTTTAAATTTTTGTGGTTCATTTTTGCTTTTTGATTGTCTTGTGTTACGTGTTTTGTGGTTACTTTTTGATTTTGATTTTTATCAATTTGTATTGCTTGATTGTGGTTTGTTTTTCTTTTGTTTTTTCTCTTTCTTTTTCTTTTTGTTTTTCTTGTAATTTTAAAATTCTTAATAAATATCATTTAAAAAAAAAAGAAAAAGAAAGATTCCATCAACGGTGTCTCCAAAAAATTTTACACATCACTTGGGAAGACAGGCGATCTAATACAGTGGTGCCTCGCAAGACGAAATTAATTCGTTCCGCAAGTTTTTTTTGTCTAGCGAATTTTTCGTCTTGCGAAGCATGAAATCCCATAGGAATGCATTGAAATTCAATTAATGCGTTCCTATGGTCAAAAAAGTCCAAACAAAGCCAAATTTGGTACAACAAGAGTTTATTAAGTGCTCTTTAAAGTCACACATACTGTAAAGAGCATTTCAAAAATTGAAGGAACAATAAATTAAGTTTCTAAACATGACAGAAAAACATTTAAAAATCAAAAAAGGGTACATTACATTTTCTAAGACTCTGGGGGACAACTCGAAGAAGGTTCCTCTTCCACTCTTTGCTTCTTGCTGAAGAACCTGTCCATGGTCTGCTGCTTCATCCGCCTTTTCAGCAGCTCCCTGAGAGGCGACATGACCCTCGTATCAAAAGTGTTCACAAGGTCATGTGCCACGTGCTTGTCAGGGTGGTGCCGCTGTGCAAAAGCCTGCACATCCTTCCACTTCAGGCAAATGTCCCTCAGTTCTTTGGAGGACAGCCATTCCTCAGTTGCTTCCTCCTCTTCCGGCGAGGCCTGCTCCTACGCAGCCTCTGCCTGCAGTTCGACCAGCTCCTGGATGGTCGGCTCGTGGTCGTGCTCCTCCACCAGCTCGCTGATGTCCTCCTCTGTGACCTCCAGGCCCATGGTCCTCCCCAAGGCAACAATGTCCTGCACCACTGTTGACTCTGGTGCATCAGAGTCACTTGGTGCCACACAGTCCGGCCACAGGCTGCGCCAAGCGCAATTTAAATTTCTCTGGCTGATCCCTTTCCAGGCCGTGGTGATCATCTTCAAGCAGGTGACGATGTTGAAGTGGTCCTTCCAGAATTCCCGCAGGGTGATGGTGGTGCAATCAGTCACCTCGAAGCATCGCCTGAAAAGCTCCTTGGTGTAGAGTTTCTTGAAATTGGCGATGACCTGCTGATCCATCGGCTGGAGCAGTGGCGTGGTGTTAGGCGGCAGGAACATGATGCTGATGAAGCTGAACTCCTCCAACAAGTCCTCCTCAAGGCCTTTAGGATGAGCAGGAGCATTGTCCATCAGAAGCAAAGCCTTCAGTGGCAGGTCGTTGTCCAGCGGGTACTGTTTGACAGCAGGGCCAAAAGCAAGATTGACCCAGTCCACAAACAGCACACGTGTGACCCAAGCCTTGCTGTTGGATCGCCACATGACACTCAGCTGCTCCTTGTCGACCTTGTGTTTCTTGAAGGCCCGTGGGTTCTCCGAGTGGTACACCAGCAGGGGCTTGATCTTCAGGTCGCCGCTTGCGTTGGCACAGAAGAGCAGGGTCAGACGGTCCTTCATGGGCTTGTGGCCAGGCAACTTGGCCTCCTCCTGTGTGATGAAAGTCCTTTTGGGCATCCTCTTCCAAAACAGCCCGGTCTCGTCGCAGTTGAAGACCTGCTGTGGAACGTAGCCCTCCGTCTTCACAACCTCCAGGAACTCCGCTGCAAAGTCTTCAGCCGCAGAAACATCAGAACTGGCAGAACTCCATGCCTGACCACGCTGTGGATTCCAGATCTTGTCTTGAACCGGTCAAACCAGCCTCTGCTTGCCTTGAAGACTTCTGGCTCGCCTGAGGTTCCTGGCTGTTCCCGGACGAGGTCCGCGTGCAAGGCCTTGGCCTTCTCACAAATGACGGCCTCAGTCACTGTGTCCCCTGCACGCTGCTTCTCTTCTAACCAGATGAGCAGCAACTTCTCCACCTCCTCCAGAACAGCTGGGCGGTTCTTCACGATCCTGGTGACTCCCTTGGCTGCATCAGTCGCAAGGATCTTCTCCCTCATCTTCAGGATGGTCCCGATGGTCGATGGATTCCTCCCGTACTCCCTGGCGAGGTCTGTCACACGCATTCCACCGTCGTGCTTCTGGATGATCTCCTTCTTCATTTCCAGCGTAACCTTCTCCTTCTTCCCCTCGCCGGCCTCTGCAGCAGCAGTCTTCTTGGGTCCCATGGCAGCACAGCTCCTACCTTCGCAACCCCCCCCCCCAAAATAAAAAAATCAGTGCTTCACATCCAAAAAATTCAAAAGCACCCAGCCACCCACCACACAGAAATTCAAACCCAGAACCAAGTCCTTGAATTCCAAACAATCCAAAAAAACCCCCCAAAAGTTTAAAAGTTTAACTTACCGAATGGCTGCAAAAGAAGTTTTGGAAAACCTTCAAAAATCACCAAAGTCTTCAAAAACCTCAACTATTCCCCCAGCCACCCACCACACAGAAATTGCAAACCCCTCCCCAACTGTTCCCCCAGCCCCTCCCCAACTGTTGCAAACCCCTCCCCAACTGTTGCAAACCCCTCCCCAACTGTTCCCCCAGCCACCCACCACACAGAAATTCAAATCCAGAAATTTTTTTTTAAAACAGCAGAGTGGCCCAATGGTCACAGAAAATCATAAAAATGCAGAAAAAAAAACACAAGCTTCCAGATTCTTGCAAACCCCTCCTCAACTGTTCCCCCAGCCACCCACCACACAGAAATTCAAATCCAGAAATTTTTTTAAAAAAACAGCAGAGTGGCCCAATGGTCACAGAAAATCATAAAAATGCAGAAAAAACCACACAAGCTTCCAGATTCTTGCAAACCCCTCCCCAACACCAAGTCCTTGAATTCCAAACACCCCAACCCAAAATCCAAAACCCCCCCAAAAAGTTTTAAAAGTTTAACTTACCAAATGGCTGCAAAAGAAGTTTTGGAAAAGCTTCAAAAATCACCAAAGTCTTCAAAAACCTCAAAAAGGCTACCACACCGCGTTCTATGAGTTGCTCCTCAAAGTCAAGTCGCAACTGCACCTCTTCAAGCAATGCACCCCGGGTATTAGCGGTTTTACGAAAAAGGAAACAAACTTGCAAGACGTTTTCGTCTTGCGAAGCAAGCCCATAGGGAAATTCGTCTTGCGAAGCAGCTCAAAAAACGCAAAACCCTTTCGTCTAGCGAGTTTTTCGTCTTGCGAGGCATTCGTCTTGCGGGGCACCACTGTATCAGTGTACTGGAAGAAGCAAAGATCACCAGTGCTGAAGCAATGATTCTTCAACATCAACTTCGCTGGACTGGTCATGTTGTGCGGATGTCTGATGATCGTCTTCCAAAGTAGCTACTCTATTCTGAACTTAAAAATGGAAAGCGTAATGCTGGTGGTCAACAAAAGAGGTTTAAAGACTGTCGCAAGGCAACTCTTAAAAAAAATGTAGTATAAACACAGACAACTGGGAAACACTGGCCTGCGAGCCCTCCAGTTGGAGAACAGCCTTTACCAAAGGTGCATGGGCTTTGAAGACACTCAAATTCAGGACTCAAGGGAGAAACATGTTAAGAGGAAGGCACGCTTGGCAAATCCACACTGTGATCAACTCCCACCCGGAAACCAATGTCCCCACTGTGGAAAGACGTGTGGGTCCAGAATTGGCCTCCACAGACACTTACGGACTCATTGTTAAAACCGTGTTTATGGAAGACAATCTTACTCGGCTACGAGTGATCGCCAAAGAAGAAGAAGACAAGAATTATCCACATCATCCAAACATAAAATTTTATATTACCATGATTTAACCTTGAGGTGGGAAGACCTAAGGGATGCGGGTGGCGCTGTGCATTAAAGCACAGAGCCTAGGACTTGCCGATCAGAAGGTCGGCGGTTCAAATCCCCGCGACGGGGTGAGCTCTCGTTGTTCGGTCCCAGCTCCTGCCAACCTAGCAGTTCGAAAGCACATCAAAGTGCAAGTAGATAAATACCGTATTTTTTGCTCTATAAGACTTACTTTTCCCTCCTAAAAAGTAAGGGGAAATGTATGTGCGTCTTATGGAGTGAATGTAGGCTGCGCATCTATCCCAGAAGCCAGAACAGCAAGAGGGATTGCTGCTTTCACTGCGCAGCGATCCCTCTTGCTGTTCTGGCTTCTGAGATTCAGGATATTCTTTTTCTTGTTTTCCTCCTCCAAAAACTAGGTGCGTCTTGTGGTCCGGTGCGTCTTATAGAGCGAAAAAAACGGTAGGTACCGCTCCGGCGGGAAGATAAACGGCGTTTCCGTGCGCTGCTCTGGTTCGCCAGAAGCAGCTTAGTCATGCTGGCCACATGACCCAGAAGCTGTACGCCTGCTCCCTTGGCCAATAAAGCAAGATGAGCACTGCAACCCCAGAGTCGGTCACGACCGGACCTAATGGTCAGGGGTCCCTTTACCTTTACCTAGGAAGACCTAATGTTTAACTAAGTATGACCAGATTTCAGCAAATGAGGCCTCTCCTCCCTCATGACAGGAGGGAATAGCCAAGAATGGTAGGGAGACAGAACTAAGGAGAAGCTAGAAAAATCTTTATTGACTTTAACACAGTTTCCAGTTTTAACCGGAAAGAGATTCCAGGAATGGCTTTATTCTAACAGCAAAGCTCCTAGTAGTCGCTAACGCCACACCATTACAACTTGAGCTGTGCACATTCAAAGTATAATTGTGTTGCAGATGAACTACTCTGGTAAATGTGCTGAATGTGTGAATGACTATTCAGCCTATATGGATATAAGTTGCTCATTGACTCAGAGCTTCCTACAGCGACTTACCATAAAATCGCTTTGCTAGCTCATTCCAGTGTGCAGTATGTCTAAATGTTTGACACCTTGATCAAAGACTAAAGTTAAGTAAGTGGGAAGCAGGGTAAAAACCTCTGGAGAGTTAGAGCTCTTAACTTACCCCCACTACATAATCAACAGCATGAAAACGAGAAAGCAAACATGCACATCTAATCAATATCCTGTGATTAATGGCTCATGTAAAAGAGTCTTGAGTCAGGCTGATAATCCTGAATCAACAATTAGGAAAATAAGTATGTATATAATCAGAAAGATTTCATATTGTGACTGAAATCACTGCCACATGAACAATAGCAGTGATATCAGCTACTTGTGTATAAGTTATGTGCAGCCTAATTCTATGCACACTTGATTGATTGGAAGAAAGTCCCACTGCATCCAACACGGCTCACACCATTTTGTGTGTCTGTGTGTGTATGTATTGGATTGCAGCCTTCTGAAATTTTTATACACCCTTTGTGCATCAAGGAAACCATTCTATTGCAATCATGCCTACAAGAATACTACAACAACAAAGGACAGGGATTTCATCAATTGTCCTTTATTTGGCATGTCAACATTTTCTAAAATATTCCTATCCTTTTTCCAATGTACTTATTGACCCTGGCTTCCCCTTGTTTTGCCCAAATATATGATATGCTCTTATTTAACCATGCAAATAGTGCAACACAACACATTGCTACTCAGAATAAGTCCCGCTAAGTTCAATGGGGTTTATGTCTAGGGAAGTGTTACAGGGAAAGCTAAATCTGTTGCATCTGTTATATTCTGCCAGCCACACAGGTTTAAAATTATTACAGAGGAGCCCTGCCAGAGAACTGATTCGTAGTAGAAGACCTTAAAGGTGATTGCCTGGTGATTGCTGTGGAATAGTCCTGTTAGGGCCAAATTGTACATTACACTATAAAAAGGTAAAGATAAAGGACCCCTGACACTGTTAAGTCCAGTCGCAGACTACTCTGGGGTTGCGGTGCTCATCTTGCTTTACAGGCCGAGGGAGCTGATGTTTGTCCGCAGACAGTTTTTCTCGGTCATGTGGCCAGCATGACTAAGCCACTTCTGGCAAAACCAGAGCAGTGCACGGAAATGCCATTTACCTTCCCGCCGGAAGGTAAGGTTGGCAGGAGCAGGGATTGAGCAACGGGAGCTCACCCCATCGTGGGGATTCGAACAGCCGACCTTCTGATCGGCAAGCCTAAGAGGCTCGGTGGTTTAGAACACAACGCCAGCCGTGTTCCTATGTGTAACAATATGACAACATCTTGCCACCCTCCAGGCTGTTTCTTCCTCCCGTCCCCTGTGGTTCCAGTTTCACATTTATATGGTATACAGAAATCCAGAACACTGGCATGGGTAAAAGCATATGGGGAGTTTT